TGGAGCTCCTTATAACAAGAGAAACCTAAGAAAAATAAAATTTAAATAAAAATAAACCCTTCATTTTTTAGCTAATATTAAGCCTTTAAATAATCAAAAATCAATTAAAAATCATAAAAATAACCAAATTTTAAAAACACACTAAAATGTCACATTTGACTTCCTGAGCACTTGGAACTAATTAAAATAATTTTCCTAATTTCCTAAGTTAAGAAATTTCAAGTTATAATTCCAAAATTTCAATTAAAATATAAGTCACAGAAATATGAAATTTGTTTCTGTCGGTTCCCTGGACTCAGAGGAATTTAATAAAAATATAAAACTTAATTTTTCATCTAAATATTATTTTATATTTTATTAATACTAAAAAAAACAAATAAATCTAATAATTAAATTAAAACTTTAAAAATCATGAAAATTGGTCCAAGTGGTTCTCTGACCTAAGCGAATCTCCAATAACTTTCTTAAGAACAGAAGTCTTACTTTGATGGAGTTATTAAATTTTTATTAAAATCCGTATTTTTGCATTATAAATAATTATAAAATTTAAATAAATTTGGAAAAATCACATTTTCTCCTCCAATGTTTTGATTAACCCATGAGTAAGGTAACATAAAATCTTCAAGTCATTTGAGTCTAATTTAATGAATTATAGAATTTAATGAATTATAGAGAATTATAGAGTGTTAAGGCCTTAGGGGAAAAAGTGTAATTTTGGAATTTAAAGCTTAATTAATATTTAGGCTTAATCAAGAGGGTAAAGGGGTAACAAGGGATCTTAAAAAAAAATGTCTTGATGAATGAAACATAAAATGGACAAGTGATAGAAACCAACATTACTTTGACTTTCATAAAAGATAAATTTATAATTTTTCAAATTAATGAAATATGAGAAGAATAATTAAATATGAAGATATTGAGGTGAGGGGTTTGATTTTAGAAGATTATAACTCACTGATTTTAACCCCCAACCAATGATTTTAAAATGATTTAAAGTTCATGATAAGGATTGAGAGTTTTAATATTAAAAATCCTTTTTCTTACCATAAACTTACTCATTAAACCTTAAGGGCTTAGTAGTGACCTAGGCTTAATCAAAATTTTGTCTAATGAGGTTTAGACAATAAATTATAATTAATTTAAAACCTTTCAAAACACTAAAAGCTCATTCTTTAAAAATCAAATTAAGTAAATTCATTAATTAAGTCAAGTTGCCCCCAAGGGTCTTTACCTATATAATTCATAAGTGAGATATCAGGTGATGATTACCCCATTTAACAGATAGTCAAAACATCATGATTCACTGATTCACTGAGCATAAGTACTGAGCATAAGTGTATTAATTGGATGAAACATATAGCAAACACAATAAGACCAAAATGAACTCAAGATAATCCCAAGGACCATGAAATGTCTAAGGTATTACTCAAAACTTTTTCATGATTCTTTGGAAATCTTGTAGGACATCTGGACTAATTATGATTTGCTTAATGGAATCATCCTCAAAATTTAAACCTAACCCGCTAAGTTATGACATAGGATCTGGTAGACACACCTTAAACTTGTATTTTATACTTTCCTTATCAGCATGCTTTAATTCCTGCAAAATTATATTGACATATATGTGCTTTGCAAGTACTGACTTTTAAGGTTAAGGAAGGAGAAGACTCATCAGATACACTTTTACAGTTTATAGTGCTTTCTTTTCTCGTACTTTCTATACTGTACTTTTATGCTTACAAACTTGCATGCTAAACAACGATGTCACCCTGCATGAAAACTAAAAGTTTTAGGATAACTACAAAACTGAAACCAAAACCAAAACTAAAAATCAATCAAGATAAAATTCACCGCCACAACATTCAAAAT